AATACGATAAAATACAGAGTGACTCACAAACGAAAGAAAAACGTATGAATCGACGAACTTAAAACTTAGTCGTACATACCAGTTTTAAATGTGCCGCTGTTTGAACACAAAGGCTATCGTGATTAGTTTCAAGACTGTAGTCTCTACTATTAACGAAATACCCGGAGAAATATCCTTATTTATAAATGGAATTGATAGATCTGTGCTACGCGGTTGAGCGAATGGTAAACGTGAAGATGACCTCAAGCTCTTGGCGCATGTAAAATAAAACAGGATTAGAAATTTGTGTTTCCGTGGACTTTATAGATGTGCTTGTTAAAATCATTATAACTAAGCGGTTATGTTAATTTACTCACTAGAATTCTTGACAATTGATGCACTCTTGAAACCGTTTCTTTGGCTAATTACTGAACTTAATGGTAAAATGGCAGTATTATCGAAGAGGTGAATTCTTGATGAGTACGTTCTGGCTTATACGTGGAAAACTGTGAAATTGCTTGGAATTTCTTGTCAAATTCTGCGTTGTTAAACAAGAATAGATGACAATCTATCAGACGCTAGTTTATCATTAAGTAATTTAAGTACTGTGATTAAGTGACCTCTTGTCTTTCCTTATGGTGAGGGGAGGCGCAGTTGTAGTTAACCCATACCTTTTTCTGAGGCCGAACTAGGAAGGCCTTTACCCACATCTGTGAGGTTATCTCAGTAGGGCCGTAACTTTTAACTTATGCCAAGGAGTCGGACAATGATTTAAATTAGGAGTTTGGGTGAAGTTCATATCACTAGCTCACATTGACTGAATTGAAAGATTCCTAAAGTCTACGTCCTATTAATAAGCCAGGGTTCGAAAATAATCAATTACTCTTTACTTTCTCTCGAATGACTAAAACTCTCCAAGTCTAAAACTCACTAGATGGCGTGGTAAAGCTTAACCACAAATGACATTCACTTACCAGATAAACTGGACAGCAACCTAATAGTCTAGCTGTGGCTCACATATTATCCACGGAGAACGTTGAGGACAATCCAAACCCTGAAAATATATGTAGATAAATCAGTGATAATATCCCGCTACCCGTCAATCTGTAGAAAAATCTCAGGTGATAATTGACTTCGGATGATCGATAACGCTACCGGCGCTTTTTTGTAGCATTTCAACACACAAGATATTTGGAGCAAAAAGTAAAGATTACTTTAAGATCACATTTGTGAATGTAATGTGAAGAAATTTTTTTGATAATATATCTCTGGAATAATGAATTTGGATGAGATCAGAAAAATTTACAAATGTTATGATTCACACATGTCACAGCATAGATTGAATGGATATAAGCAAACATATAAGTTTCTATGTCATTGTGTTGATCAAGCTAATTGTTCGTCACATATTCAAATAAACCAACCGATTATGACATATGGGAATAGTCATAGTTGTTCGTATAAAAAACGATGAGTTTTCAGGGCTAGCGAAATAATCACTTGCCCCTAGTCAAATCAACTACCATTTAGGTCACTGAATATCGAGCAGTTTACCGACGCTTATCAAGCCCAAGAAACGGACGTGAATCAATGGACTCTACATCATGGATAGGCGCATCCAGCAGTGGTCAGACCCTGCCCTCGTACCTACTCTGACTAGTGCATTTCTGTCGTACGTATGTCATACAGTCGTAGAAGTTACCATTGTACCTAAATACGACAAAAAGGAAATCTATGTTATGTATCGGCCTGTAGGCGTGATTTCGACACTAGATGAGAAGCCATGCCATTTCCACCCAACTTAAGTGGGCCTCAGTCATTGATATAACCCACCTACGTTATATAAGCATTAATACAGGAACTGCAATTAACACTGTGAAATCCTCACATCAACTTAGGAAACAGATCATGAAGACGAATTAATTTCTGAATCTTTCAAAATGGGAGAAACTATTATTATTATTATTATTATAAGCTTTATTCAACATTATATTTTTGGTACAACATAGAATTCTCAGCATAAAGTATTTCAACAAGTTTCCTTTTCTTATACCTTGATCGATTGTGACGATAAATTTTGAGTGATGACCAGTTAGATGTTAGAAGTTCGGTAATCCACATTTGATTACTGTTCATTCGTTTCAATGCATATTGCCAGACACCATGATGTCGCTGATTGTACCTTTTTGTATCTCGTATAGCGAAAGGTTGTAGACTTTCCATAAACGCGCCTGAATAGGTTGTGCGCACAATAGACATAGTGATGTGCTAAAACAAACAACAAAACAGATAACTTGATGAAATATCTAGATCGGAGGAACAGGTAGCCCAGATATTCAAGCAGGCCGCCGGAACTAGCTATCGGCTTTTCGTGACTAGCAAGATGTCTTCCCATTGGAGTACCAAAAGTTTGAGCAAGAGCATTAAATGGCCAGACCAAAGAGCGAAACCAAGCATCATCGACATGCACTCCATGGGTTTAACATAAATGAAGTTAAATGGGATTATTAATTATTAACTGCTATTGGTTTGCGAACTGCAATACATCTCTCTTAATAATGGTGTTTGATTTCCCCATGTGTTCAAAGCTTCGGCTTGTATTCTTTTGTTGTTGGAACTAAAACCTTTTTTGAGGATTCTGGTGTCAGCGAAATCGATTGTATGGCCACACTCTGTGAGTTCGATGCAGTCACTGACATGTTTCCTGGATTTTTCAGGTCTTCAGATGACTGAGTAATGTTCTCTAAATAAAGTTCGTGCCTCTCAATAGCAACGTTCTTCCTTTGAGTTTTTATTATTTCGGAGAGTTGTATAATCGATAGTAGACCTATATTACAATGATTTGGGATCTTTCTGATACCTTCTAAAGTTCTTTCGCGGCACGGCATCGCCATCGTGTAAACTTATACTTTTCATCTTTTTGGTTCATATATTTTCTTATCTTCCCGATGGTGCACCTCAACTACTGCTTTTATAGAGTCGAAAGAACAATTATTCGACATAGGGTTGACCTAATCAAATGCAATTTAGTTTCGTCATCATTTCATTCACTAAAAGGTTTTCGAATTCTCAGAAACTGTCACGTTGGTAGAATATGTATTTACTGACATGTAATCTAGATATTTCTCAGGATATGTTGACTTTCGGGATCTATTTATTTCTAAACAGCCATTACGTTTTCTTACAACCAAACAGACCAGAAAAGGTTGAAAGATGACACAGGTATTCAGTGTTTGACAACGCTTCTACCAGTCACACTTTTTAATATGATTCGTTCCCACCCAGAGAAATCAAAAGACAGAGTCGAGGAGATCGGAAGAGCATATTTGGCGACAACCAAAATATCGGAATTCTCCGATCTAATCTGGCTAGGGATTGCGGTTGATGTTGAGCACGGCGTCACCACACGTGATCTGGTGCGGATGCCTGACCGAGCGCCTTCAGCTAGATGAGTCCACTAAAACATATGGTCAGCATCCAATGTCGAAAACTTACAGGGCTATTTATTTTGGGGATTTATTTACCGCTACAAGGTAAATTCTAGTCAGTAGATTTATTTATTTCAGTTAATTTTACGGTTTGAGCATATTGTTGATATTTAAAAAAAATTAGTCTTATCCGTTCTGTTTTTAATAATAAACGTGTCATCTACGTGCCTAAAACAGATTTTCGGTAGATTAGAAAACTCCTAAATTCGCTGGTTCTGATAAATGCGTAAAATAGCGGCAATCGGAGGAATCGCAGACTTTATAGAAACACCTGTTTGTTGTATAAGTTTTCTCAAAGATATAGAAAGTGAAAGGTAATCGCATCTACAGAACTTCAGTAATATATGCGAGACCTAATGAACACTGATACTTTACTTCGATATCAGAATCCAAGTGACCAAATACAATGTCAAAATGTTCTAATTTTGGCTGATTTCATGCATACTTTTTAGTGACGTCGTTCTGATTAAGAGCATTTTCCAACATGTATCTAGGATATTTGGCGTCGATTCGATCGTTCAACACGTACATACCGTCAATTAATCTTACGAAATATGCTGTTCAGAGTATTTGGAACTACTAGGATCAGACAACTGATCCAGATTAGTAAATTTTGATAGGTTTGGCAATCTGTACTATTCGCGCGCTTTTATATGTCATGACGATTGATTAAACGTACTCCTCAGGGGAAGTTTCAAGGTCATTTATACTTTTCAGAGCGAATATCAAGATATGTTTGCCTGGTGGAAATTTAGCCATGATATGTTTGTAGTAATGTGTTAAACAGTGTTTTGTATTTAATCTAACTTCGAGAACATAAAAGCCATAAATTTGCAATAATACATACTGAGATTGTTCGTGCGTGGGAGCCTTATTGCTATGGAGCTGATTCTTGGGTATCTTTTGAAGGTCAATATCGTGTAAATTAATAATATTCTGAAATGCGCACAAGTAAGGCGCATATCAAATGAATATGAACTTACATTCTACTAATCGATGATGAAGACACTAAAATCTTCGGGTCGAAATATGTTCGAACACAAAGTTGAAGAAAGATTACATTGAACCAAAGCAGTTATGATTAACTGGATATGAGCACCATACTAGGACCAAATGGCAGCTCAGTGCTTCTAGTTTTCTAATGACGTTCTACGTTGATCTGTTTATGATTTCAATGAAACTCAAAAATCTCCACAATTCTATACTTACAATTTTTGAACATTCTCTAGTAGACATTCAACACTTTTAAACTAACACTGTTGCTTTACCATCAGACTTAAAGGATGAGACATACTGTTTAACGATTCTACAAAATTACATTTCATAAGGATAAAGACTATTCATCAACCGTTCTGGAAAATGTGAACTTCAAGTCTGGTTAACCTGAATGCTTAAAATAGATTTATTTCGAGAAAACAATTATGTTTATTACGAGAGTCATCATAAGTTGGCAGTATGTTATTGTTTGGACACGTCGCAAGAAGTATTAACGTGCGTTGAAAAACACTAGTATAATTTTGCATCCAATTTTCTATGTCTATTAATATAAAGAGGTATATCTACATGAAAAACAAACCAGTTATAAGACATCATTTTTTAACACGTTTATGGCAGGCGAAAGTAAGTAGCGTTTGAATCACGTGTGTGGATATCAATCAAACTGTTATGATTTACCCTACCGAAAATCGGTAGCAGAGATCACAGATTATAATGTACTAGGAAATATTTCCATGTATACGAAGGAGGAGGTGAACATTTTAAACGATCAAAAACAAAGAAGAAATACTTATGATGTTGAGTAACATCTCAGCTTTAACGCATAAAACTGCATTCGCTAAATTAACTGAAAGTATTGTAAAGTTGGTGGTTGAAATACGTAATGAACATGTTAGGTACCATCACCAAAATCTGACTTGACAATTTCGAATAAATTGAGCATTGAGTAGATTGATATAAACAAAAAATATGTTTGTAATATCCCGATGAGTAGTAAAATAGGATTTTCTGACCTTCCGTGACTTAGCGTAGGCCACTTCTTCAGAGAATAAACAATCAAACCAAAATTAATCCTAGTTTAGAGAGCACAACGGAGCAACAAGATGTTATGTGATCGATCGAAAAACAAGTCCGAATAAATCAATGTCATGTCATCTCATTCAAGATGATCCATGGCCAGTTATCACTTAACTAACAATTTTTTTGCTAATTTTTATTATTATTTATTTATTTTATTCTATTTTTGTCATCATTAACCTTATTTTCACATCCATTATTTGTTTGTAATTCATAAGCGAAGTGTTTGTAAATTTGTGTGTATGTATGTGTGCACTGTTAAGGGTGAAAAATGTGTAGCCTTCATGGTGAGAAAGGATAGAGTTTAATTTGTAAGATAATAGTGTGAGTTGTGAATAATATCAGATTAGGTGGCTAGGATAGATAGTCCAATTAAGATGTATGGTAAGGCTTTCTTTTCTATTGAGAGCAGTAGGATTAAGCATTATATGGAACGCTTCAGCGAATTTCCTTTAACTCTAATTCGGTTATTTATTCTCTGAAGAAGTGACCTAAACTAAGGCACGAAATGTCAGAAAATCCCATTTTTCTCCTTATTGGATTATTACAAATGTATTATTGATTTGTAATGAAGTTTTGTGAGCTTTTATCAGCCAACCCAAAAAATCTAACGCTCACATTATTACAGAAAATTGTCATCGTTATGAAGGTAACTCTGCATTCAGCTCTTATCATCCATGTGACCTTAACTTTCTCATTCACTTAAACCCCTGGGTTTTAAAACAGATTCTTAAGGCAGCTTTGATCATCAATCATTATTATGAAACAAGGCAGGTTTGACGAATATTGTGTAGCGCTACTAATTCTCCTCTTAATCACGTTGCCTTGGTTGATTATTAGTTGTGTTACTCAAATAACCACAGCTACTCATCGTCTGTCTGTCTGAACTGTATTAAAATAGTTGTAACAAAGCCAGAAGTTATATCGACAGGAAGGACTGGATATAAAACTAAAAAGCTGTGACAAGCAACAACCAACTACCTAGAATCAACAAAACAAAGGAATAGGGATGATTGACTTACGCTCACTTGTTTCACTTCATATTCTGTCACTACAATTTTTTAATCAGCCATAATGAAATAATGGATATTCAACAACTGAACTTGATTGTGATTTCACGCCTAAAGTTACGAGTAGTGTCAACAAACAAAAGGCGATAACAAGAAGTTTTGGATTGAATGATTTACTATTCACTTTCAAGAAAACCCGCTTTGCAGCACCAAAAATAATGTATGCAATTTCATATCCTAGAAAGGTACTGTTGTACTCTGGTCTTAGAAGAGGAACTTGCTCCACACACTCAGGGAGGTGATATGATGCCGTCCAAAGAAGCAGACAGAGCGCTTATACAATGGATATCTCAGACATCCAGAATCACCAAAAAATCCTTCAAAACAAGAAGAGAAGGGATTACAACAAATGTTATTTTAATGTTATGCACCCACCAATGATAGCAACGACAACGATAGAGGTCAGTTTAACGTGAGGCTGCCATCGATCACAGTAAAGTACCCACGAAAGGACCTGACAATTTTGTTGGGAGAGCTAAACGCCAAAGTCGGTTATGAAGATATTATGGGACGAAACGGACTAGGAAGAAGTACGAGAATGGGGAGAGATTTGCAAATCTACGTGTATTCAACAAGTTGGTTATTGGCGGCACAATATTCCCATATAAACGAATGCACAAAGTTACATGGGTTCCACCGGACCACACCACAGAGGACCATATAGATCATATTTGCATCAGTAAAACATTCACAAGGTCAATGGAAGACGTAAGAACCCATGGAGGTGCTGACATAGCTTCAGATCATCACCCGGTGGTAGCCAAGATAAAACTGAAGCCAAAGAAGCATTAGACAATCGGGGAAACAGCATTTCAAGCGTTCAACACAGCCTTCCCACGGGATACTGACAAACTCAACGAATTTGAGATAACTCTCAACAACAGGTTCCGAGCCTTACAGGATCTACTCAATGAAGGAGAAACCACTATGAAGGACAACTGGAAAGGGATCAAAAAAGTACCGTCGTAAGGGATGGATCTCGATGGAAACCCTGGACAAGGTTCAAGAGAGGAAGAACGAGAAGACAACGATGATCAACAGCCTAACAATAACAGAGAAAGTGAAGGCACAAGCTGAATACACAGAAGCAAACAAGGTAGTGAAGTGGAGCATTAAAGCTGACAAACAGAAATACGTGGAAGAGCTATTGACGACAATGGGAAAAGCTGCAATAGAAGGAAATATGAAAAAACTATATGACACAACAACGAAACTGTCAGGGAAATATGGTAAACTGGAGCGACCAGTCAATGACAAAGAAGGCAAGTCAATCACTGAAAATCGGTAACCATGAGGTGTTTGACAATTCGGAAGGGAGAACGTTATCAAACATACTTTGAAGCTGGACATATAAAATTTGTGAATATTTGCATTTAACACATAACGCCTAGAAAAGGTAAAATTCGGTGAGCGTGGGAACAGTTATTCAATATGACTTAGCTCGTACTTGAAGACGTGGTGATTGTGCGTAACTCATTCATTTGCACATTCAATATATTGTTCTATTCCCAGCTGATTGTCACGTAGGACGAGTCAGTATAGACCAAGGTGTGACTTCTACTTAAGATCTTATGGAAAAAATATTCACACCACAACGAATCTCCAGTATGTCATAAAAAAGTAAAGGCATTTTAAACAGTTATCTATGCAATATATTCAATGTCTGTTGACCAGATACCATCAGCAACAGCCTACTGCGGGAGAGAAAAAAAGGTTTTCCGGTGAGGAGGAAATCTGGAAAAGAAATGTGTTGCGGAAATCATCAAACTGCACTACGAGGCATGTGCTAACTTGGAAACCTGAAGAGAAAAGGAAAAGTGGAGGGACAAAGGACACACTACGTCGGGAAATAGAATCAGACATACAAAGCATGAATAGCAACTGAGAAGGATTGCCTAGGACAATGTTTTATGGAGAATGCTTATGAATGGCTTATGCTCTTCTCGGTGCGTAACAGGAGCAATTAAGTGAGTAAGTAAGCAAGCAGATAAGTAAGCATCTTCAAGGTAGATACGTCAGAAAATACATCAAATCCTACCGTTTACCATATGGATGTCTTCGGTTTATATGGAGGTTATATTCTTTATCACAGGGATTTCGAAAAACAATACGACTGTTGAGAAGATAACACTAAAATCTGTGAGTGAGAAATAATTGCAGCATTTTGTTTGCTCATACACGCTCTTCCTACAACCCTTAAAATGGTCGTCAAGAAACGTTAGTAAAACTTTTAATTTACAGAGGGTCATAATTCAATAACGATACTAAATCCTAGCGTAGGTGAAGACTAGAAATTCAGTTCAAACTTCGCAATGATTCTGTCATCTCTAATCTGACTGCAAATTAAGACGTCCCACATAATACACAGGTCAGAATATATCGGATATCGTCAGTGAAAATGTTTTAGATCAAAGCCCTCACATTTACTGGGCTCACAGTCGAGAACCTTTTCATATATAAATCAACCGAAGCTCTAATACTTTGGATTTCTGGTGCTAAAAAGATAGTGTCTTGTAAGGTAGTCATTTTCCTGGGTATGGAAGAGACATGGGGTATCATACTTAATAAGTACACTAATTGAAGTCTCTTAAAGTAATTCCTTCTAAGTCTCCTTTAGTGAAAGGAGGATGATTGTAAACTGAATTGAAAGAATCAGAATAAAAAACAATTCTGGTGATTTTTGTAAGTGTGAAGCATGCTAAGACTCAATAAGTAGCTGGATTGGTCAGATTTTTGATATTGGAAGAACCGTGGTGACTGCAGCCGACTAAGTATCGCAGCTGAAATAAATTTGAAAAGAACGAACTTATTCAATTATCTATATAAGGTTCCATCCAAGTCACGGACTTCAGACAAGAAGTATCAACTGTCAATCTATAGACACATCAAGTTTACCCAACAAAATGGGTGGGTTTCATGGATCAATTGATGTATATATTTCCCATATTATAGACGCAACAGAAATTTGGGGTTCCTTTCAAGTAACTGACCATTCACTAGTTTTAGAAAGAATATATTATTTCTCAGTAGGTGGTCTAATTCAGACTCATTAATTACTAGGAAACGACTTCAGTCCTACTGTCCGTGGATTTTTCTTCAAGTAAGTCGGGACAGTCCGAAGGACACAGCGAGCGCAATCAAGAGCCAAAGACGAATAAAACTTCCCACCTTGTAATCAACTCTTGAAACCAGCTAGTGGAAGAATTGGTGCCTGCACCCTCGATTGGATCATTTGAAAAGACACAAGATACTCACGGAAGCTTACTCATTAAGAACTAAGAAAGCATCCAGCCTTCACAAAAACTGTCTAACACCATGTTGTGTATAGTTAAAACTGTTTATAGAAAGCCCACTGACAGCAGATATCACAATCAGATGATCAAATAACTAACCTTACACTTAGGACTGTGATATAATTATATCTATTAATTAAAACGTGCCTAAGTACGTTTCACGATTCAACGCTCCTCGTAGTTATAGTTACGGAGGCAGAGGATTTTCAAAAGATGTGTAGTAACGTTGAGCTGAAGAAACCGATTTTCGGTAGGGTAAATCATAACAGTTTGATTGATATCCACACACGTGATTCAAACGCTACTTACTTTCGCCTGCCATAAACGTGTTAAAAAATGATGTCTTATAACTGGTTTGTTTTTCATGTAGATATACCTCTTTATATTAATAGACATAGAAAATTGGATGCAAAATTATACTAGTGTTTTTCAACGCACGTTAATACTTCTTGCGACGTGTCCAAACAATAACATACTGCCAACTTATGATGACTCTCGTAATAAACATAATTGTTTTCTCGAAATAAATCTATTTTAAGCATTCAGGTTAACCAGACTTGAAGTTCACATTTTCCAGAACGGTTGATGAATAGTCTTTATCCTTATGAAATGTAATTTTGTAGAATCGTTAAACAGTATGTCTCATCCTTTAAGCCTGATGGTAAAGCAACAGTGTTAGTTTAAAAGTGTTGAATGTCTACTAGAGAATGTTCAAAAATTGTAAGTATAGAATTGTGGAGATTTTTGAGTTTCATTGAAATCATAAACAGATCAACGTAGAACGTCACTAGAAAACTAGAAGCACTGAGCTGCCATTTAGTCCCAGTATGGGGCTCAAAAGATTACATGTCCATTACCTCACAAGCGGTGATAGAACCCAGAACCTTCGATCCTGTGCCTATATATATATATATAACTATCAATATTATGTTCATCATATCGAAGGTGAAATGAACTATTCAAAACAATACGAATGACTGGAAGTTGATAATTTATTCAGTGTTTTTTTCGGAATTTTATACAATGAATAATAAAGAATAATTATACCAGTATAGTTCATAATTACTTTAATGCATGAACAAGAAATAAAAAACAAATTCTAATTAAAAGGATTACCTGAAGTGATCTATTACTTTGGTTTATTCGGAGAGGAAGATATCACACTTATTAACACAGGTAGGATTGTCAATTGAATAACGCGGAGAGTACCGAACTTTGGTGACATTTGAATGCACTTTATTTCATATCATTTACATAGATAACCTTCCTAAACTTTTAACAGTCACTACAACATCTGAAGTAATATTGCAGCTAATATTTCTGTATGAAATTTTGTTGGATTAAGATTTTCGAATGTAAACTATATTTATTTCTTAGTTATTAGAAAGAATGAGTATATAAAGCAAAATAAATTTTACCCGATAAAATATTCATAAAAAATTTCAAGTTATGATATACAATTCATATGTGTGCTGGCTAAAGTAGATGTAAATAGACTCATGTTTCTACGTTAAATGAAGTTCACACACAGTCAATTAATGAATTATGCATGATTTAAAGAAACATATTATAGAATATGATGAAACAATCGTTAGTGATATGAAATTTATTCCTATGTACACCTCTCAGTCAGTCAGCTACAACGTAAGACCAGGCACATATGTGCATCGGTCCAAGTTGCCATACCGCATCAGCACAACAAGATGAACACCGGATTCATAAAAGTTAATGCAGGGGTGGTAATATATAAAAGAAAGATTGCAATAAGGATATAGTACAAGAAGAAAGAATTAGTTCGTAGAAAGAAAGATATGAAGCAATTTTAATCTCTTAGTTTAAGGGAAGACAGAGAGTGTATACACCAACGCCATTGTGATCGATTCTGAGCCATGTCACCAAGAATCTCCAGCCATTGGTTACGATTGTCACGCGGACCCCAACCAAGTAATCTGCATCTCCCAACATGGTCTCGGACTAGAAGTTATTGACACCTCTGCAATGTATCATGTTGTTTATGACTAAACGACTGATAGACAGATCAAGAAATAGATCTGTTTACATTAACGATCATATAATTTTCACATTTCGTAAACTCTCTTTATTGATAAATAATTACTAATTCAAATCTATGAAGTCGAATCTTAGGTTACAAACAATTAATTTTTAACTAAAAGTAATCTCTATAAATCTATAATTAATTGAATATATGCGGTATTGTAGAGCTCTGAAGATGAACGTATTTCAAAGGATTCTTCCAATGCATTGATTACTTTAGAATTAATGTGCACAAAATTATTATTTGCAGTATTTCTTATATATGGCAGATATAAATAAAATGTCAGTTCATGAAATTTTCATTTTAGGAATGTGGCACAGTAGATCCTCATGAAAATGTTTCAAATTATCATAATTATTTGTCAAGAGAAATTTCTACTAATAGTATAGAAAAATATAACTTAAATGAAAATTTAGGTGATTTACAAACTGTTAGTGAAATTTTGCCGAGTTACCCTGTTTCAAACTATAACAGTTCACGTCCAGGATCATTCTTTCCTTGGCCACGGAATATTACAGGTAAGTGATTATTAAAAATTATTGTCGAAAGAATTTGTAGCTAATCATTGATTCACTAAATATAACTTCTTATGAAATAAACCGAAAATTATACTGAAATATTAATATATGATACCATAACCCTATAAACAAAATAGATCTGTTTACAAGTAAACAACCCCAAATGCCCCGGTATAGCCGAGAGCGAGAAGATTTAGCTCTCCCACTCAAAATGCTCTCACATGGCCTCGTACATACAACCACTGCAAGGGAAGTCCTACTCACTGCATTCTACAATAACGGGTGTTGTTTACGAAATCGAGAGGACGAAGAACAAGTGTCCGGCACTTTAACTGGTTTGGTGGACACAGAGGGTCCACCTAAGTGAGTTGCCAAACCCTGATTACAAACCAATGGTGAACATGGGATCCAGGATCCTGAAGGAACTAGATCCTTCAATTTAATTTACATTATTTCAATCAACTTCTTTATACTTTACAGAATTCTATACTTACTTACTTACTTACTTACTTACTTGCTTACTTACTTACTTACTTACTACTTACTACTTACTTACTTACTTACTTACTTACTTACTTACTTACTTACTTACTTACTTACTTACTTACGTACTTACTTACTTACTTACTTACTTACTTACTTACTTACTTACTACTTTACTTACTTACTTACTTACTTACTTACTTACTTACTTACTTACTTACTTACTTACTTACTTACTTACTTACTTACTTACTTACTTACTTACTTACTTACTTACTTACTTACTACTTACTTACTTACTTACTTACTTACTTACTACTTACTTACTTACTTACGTACTTACTTACTTACTTACTTACTTACTTACTTACTTACTTACTTACTTACTTACTTACTTACTTACTTACTTACTTACTTACTTACCTACTTACTTACTTACTTACTTACTTACTTACTTACTTACTTACTTACTTACTTACTTACTTATTACTTACTACTTACTTACTTACTTACTTACTTACTTACTTACTTACTACTTACTTACTTACTTACTTACTTACTTACTTACTTACTTACTTACTTACTTACTTACTACTTACTTACTTACTTACTTACTTACTTACTTACTTACTTACTTACTTACTTACTTACTTACTTACTTACTTACGCCTGTTACTCCCAGTGGAGCATAGACTACCGACTTGCATTCTCCAACCCACTCTGTCCTGACTCCTCCTTTCCAAATCTATCCAATTTTCGTTCATTTTTCTGATGTCTGTCTCCATTTCTCGACGTAATGTGTTCATTGGTCTTCCTCTTTTTTACATGAGGATTCCATGGGAGGGCTTGCCTTGTGACGCAGTCGGGTGCTTTCCTCAATGTGTGTCCTATCCACTTCCAGCGTTTCTTCCTGATTTCTTCCTTCGCTGGGATCTGGTTTGTTCTCTACCACAATAGGTTGTTGCTGATAGTGTTTGGCCAACGGATCCGAAGTATTTTGAGTAGACGGCTGTTGATAAACACTTGTATCTTCTGGATGATGGATTTCGTAGTTCTCCAGGTTTTCGTCCCATACAGTAGAACTGTCTTGACATTTGTATTGAAAATTCTGACCTTGGTGTTGGTTGACAGTTGTTTTGAGTTCCAGATGTTCTTCAATTGTAAATATTCTGCTCTTGCTTTGCCGATCCGCGCCTTCACATCTGCATCAGATCCACCGTGTTCATCAGTCATGCTGCCCAGACAGGATCCTATAACTCAATGTAAAAGATTTATTAAATCCATGCGTTCTAACAAAACTCTTAAATTTTAGTTCAGATCATTACCTACTTTTCAAAATATTCAAATTCACCAAATAAACAACTTCTAAGAAGAATTGTTTTAGAATCAGTCTAAGTATTATATACATAATTCTAAACCGTCTCAACCTTTAATGAATGTTGATGGCTTGTCGATGAGATAGTTGATGTAAAATTTCATCTCGAAACTATGATTAGGAGAAACGCTTAAATGTTTCAAACAGGAAAATCAACTTTAAAAATAGCATTGATAAATAAATTGTCATCAATTGGTATTTACTGGCATTAATTAAGTCAAGTAGGTTTTTGAAAATGTTTCAACACCATCGATTTAAGCCAGTAACGAGTTTAGAATAATACAACAAATATAAGGAAAACCAAATAAAACCCAGTTATTACCGAACTTATTGTTTACAAAATTAAGCTATTTTTGTTTAATTTTCTGTAAGAACACTTTCTGTTAATGTGTTAGAATTTATTCCTATATATGTTTCTTATCAATCGAATTTTAATGAAACACCATGTTTCCATTATAGTTAAGACATCTTTTTACGTCACATTCTTGTAATTATAAATTTTTCTTGAATTTCTATTCAGGTGAAAGAGTAGAAAAGTATGGTAGTCGAAGTATATCTTACAATGCTCTACTTGGAATTGAAATAGAACATCGTCCGCCAACAAATACTCCAGGACCAATTAAAATGGCATTTGGTAGAGCTGCACCTGGTTATTATGCACAAAAATATCCAAGTAGATATTCCTGAAAAAAAAGTATTTATTAATAAAAAAATTTTGCGGATGGATTCGATATAGGCACTCATGAGTAAACTAATGAAATTTAGACCTGATAAGTTTATATTATACGCTACGTGGTTGTCAGGTGGTAAACAGACCAATGAAATAGTTCTCTTTCACAACAACAACTACTACCGATAGAAGTAAAGAAATAAATTGCTGACTAATTACAAAAGTGATAATAAATAAACATTTAACTAATAAACTGAAAATATAATCCAATCAAGTTGAGACCAAGTCGATACTGATTCTAACAAATGAGCTGGCCTTTTTCTCAGTAAAACAACTACGGTCTGGTAATACGTATTATTTATACGGAAATATATCCCCAACATTTATTATTTACTACTTTAGTGTATGTTTAGAAAAGAGGAATCTTGTTATTATTTCTCTTGTACAATAATAATCAACCAAATGAGATAATAGACCTAAGTGTTTACTGTATTTCAATCATATTTGATAGTTATTTTGAATAAAACCAATCTAACTTTTAGCTATGGGATAACGATGAACTGAGTTAACACAAATAATTGATTTTATATTCACCATATTATTACGGATAAAACGGGTTTTCAGAGATTTGTTGACAAATCAGTGTTAATGGCAAAATGATTTTATTGAAACTCAATGAAGCCGTTGTCCTTTGATGATATTAGAAAGAGACAAATTTATATCAAAAATTGACAGAGACTGAAAAACTTTAATTATGGAACTCTGACTGAGTGACTGAATAATATCAGACCTACTGTGAGGATTGAAGGTATTGAATTCTGTCCTCTGTGTGATCTTGGGTACTTACCGTTTATTGAATCATATAAAATAGAAGAAACTGTTATTTTGGTGCTACCTATTCTTTAATGATTTTCCGCTCGTTATTAATCCATTATGAAAATCGTTCTCAAATCATATCATAAAGCTACTTTTTGAAGTGGCTAATATATAAATACATATTTTTAAGTTACTGGCCAATCAGGTGCCCTTTCCAACCAAACTGATTGGTGAAGCCAGTTGTCTCTTATTTAAAAGGCATGCGTAGAAGTACGACACAATGAAGTAACAAATATTTCTCTTCACATCTAATTTCATAGCTATTGCATGGAAGAAACAAATGATTAATTATAATGAGAAGTAAATTTTTATGAAGTTATCCACAAACCAAGCGATTTATACTAAGTTATGGTACATGTTCCGTTGGTGTTAGTGATTATGAGAATAACTTTATATCCGAGTAGTTGAACTGATTTTTTTATTTGAAGGTTGATCAGATGGCATATTAGTTACTAGCTATAAAAAAACTCGAGATAATTCATTCAGTAAATAAATATACTTGTAAAATATATTTTCCCCCCATATTCTCTTATTTGTTTTAGGTAAAGAAACATGGTTCAATTCCAATGCATTGCATCGTCATATACCTATAATAAGATTTAATCCATTTTCACGTAATCTAGATAATTATAAAAACTATAACAATGAATATAGAGAATATTTATATAGAGTAATGAATTGACAGAATATCAAGACAAATATTTAGCAAATACTCCATCGTTATGAAAACAAATCAGATAATCCTGTTTTAACTTTGAAGATATAAGAGAAAATCATACACACACGTAGACACATAAATTGTAGGTTAGTGACTTGATCTTGAGGATGGGTCAAGAAGAAGTAAAAAAATAGACACACTCTTCTGTTCTTTTTTCTTGTTTTTTTTCATTTTCATTTCATTTCATTGATTAACTTGTGCAAATAATGTTCGTTGTCTCAAGCAGTTTTTCACATTATTTCATATAAACAAAATGATGGGCTATTTGAATAGATTTGTGATTGTTTTCGTTTTTTTTGGCTTATACCGTCATAGGCATAAAGTTGATTAATTATTAGAAATTGTATTGTTTTTAATATAGAATAAAATAGATTTAATAAATTTAATTTTGTTTAATTGAATAAACTATCATTTCAATTTTATCTTGAATTTACAAGGCGATAAGTGTTGATATTAAGCGAATAATTCTATAATTCATCAGGTTGTATCCGCTACCTTGAAAAAAACTGAAATGAATTGTACATTGTCTAAGAGTCGTATAGTCTAGTAATAAGCAAATATTAATGAACTATGGTAAATAAATGGTTTATTTAACTGGGTAACAATAAAAAAGCATGACTCGTAAATACTTTTAGTTGTCATTGGAAATATGGCTCCCTATATCGCTTTATAGCCAACTTTACATGCCCATTTTAAATATCGAGCGAAAATATTGTACATTTCAATCCTTATTCTAATTTACTCAACTGATATTTGAGCACTAAAGATTCTTGACATTGCATATGAAACCAATAGGAATACCATACCATTCAAACAACATTATTCTATTTCATTTCTCATTAGTAACAGATTATTATGATGAATGGAAATATTGAATCGTTTAATTGCTTTTCATATTAAAGCGAATATTTAGAAAGATATCTTCGTGAAAACTGATTATCACTTAAATATAACTGGAATAATGATTTAGTATAACAAGCAAAATTCGATATGTTGACTGATATTCTAGATTAAATGTTTTATTGAATTCAAAGGATTTTTCTCAAGTAACCGAAGACAGTCAAGGATATGTTTAGAACAATCTGTTTGTTTAATATGGTAATATAACATGTTGGGCTTGTTAGTGTTTCAACAATGAGTTTGATAAGACTTAATTATGAATATGGATTGTTCTTTAGATTATGATAATTACATGGTATTTATTTTGTAATATTCATTTCTCTGCCTAGTTGGAATACATATCAACAATGAGAAAGCATAAATTCTCACGAAAACGAAGTGTTATACACATTGAACAAGTGTTAGTGAATTACTAAATAAGATAGTTTTAATGGATAAAACACGATGACATTTGAAGTAATAAGTACTTGGTTCAAATACCAGCGTGAACACTAACATTGAGATGGAGGTATATGTAGGTGACAAGTCATAAATTTGATTAAAACCATAACCGGGAATTTACCGCCAGTCCTAATTCAGAGTGCAATTAAACCTATAACTACTATATATATATATATTCCATGAAAAATCAATCCAAATTTAATTTCGAATATTACCTATACTTAAAGGACAGATCTTTTTATGAAAATTTGGAAATAGTTTATATCAGCATTCTTTATATTTACATCTAACAGTCATTTTCTGGAATTTTCATTATACGAATGACAGTTGATTTAGTTCATATATACAATAACGCCTTGGAGACTAAATTCTCATCTAAAAATCCTGTACAAACCTTCATATATTATTAAGAAAAAGCAGAACACATCTATCTTTTAATTTACTAGTTAAATTCATCAGTCAATCGGAGCTAGACCACCATGAAAAACCTGGAAGCACTAGACAGCCGTTCTGTCCTAGTTTTGGACTCCTCAGCAGTGCGCATCCACAACCCCGCCTCACGGGATTCAAATCCAGGACCTATTAGTCTCACGCCAGGCGCTTAATCACTATATCACTGAGCCGGCATCCAACGGTGTTAATGTCTAACTTCAACTAATCCACGTAATTGAGTGGCACATCCACCATTGTTGTCAGTAAGTTACTATCTCACAACTGACCCGGTTGAACTCCACTGGTCTAGCTTCAATAGACTCATGATCTCAACTGTCGAAATTACTACAATCTCCACAAAACCCATTCTTATACATATTTATCTAACAAGAAGTGATTGACTATACAGACTTATCAGTTTACTGCATACTTCTTTAACATTTGATAAGGTTAGTCTGTTGTTCAGATTTCAGCAGGAACATTAAGACCTTGTAGGTGTCATTACCAAGGTTTGATTTGATAATTTCGAATAAATTGAGCATTGGGTTGATTGTTATAAATAAAAATAAAAATAATAAAAATAATTAATTTTAATTTGGTTATTTATTCTCTGAAGAAGTGACTTACACTAAGCCACGAAACGTCAGAAAATCCAATTTTCTACTCATTGGGATATTACAAATATATTATTTTTATTTATTAAGACCTTGTGTTGTAAACAAACAAATTCAGATTATCATTTCTAAAAAGAGCAAAGTATATACGTTCTTTATTATACAAAAAGATTCTAACTTACTAGAATTTTATAAGTAAATTACAAATTTCCACGTTTTTATACCTATCGTCTTTCAAATCAATCAAAAATCTAGTAACTTAGGTTTAAATGAAACATTTATGAAATTATCAATTTGATATCTTTCCAGAATAATTGAATATTTCAGTAATGAATTGAGAAAAAGTATGTTTATTTAGTGTGTGTTTGACAACAATGGAGCTAAAAGTGTGGTGTGCGCTACTTATATTGACATAAGTAGTGTATGATGTTAGTCGTGAACAGAAGGTCTGGCAGCAGAGAGACAAGAGGATCGAACAGTAACGAATGGAATAATTGATTTTTATTAACTTTCATATGGAAAAAATGCCCTGACACGTATATGTGATCAAATTGTTCGAAATGTATAGCTCAAATACATTACATTTTTCAGATCAACTTCGTCTTTTAATTGATCTATCGAAATTTAATAGAATAAATACAATGAAAATATTACTTTAAATAATGGTAATCATTTCAATCTACACTGAAAAGGAAAGACTAGTGATTTAAATTAAAATAAATTGAAACAACCTTCCTTTTTTAAAAAAAAAAAGAAATTATTCAACTGAGTAAAATATCAGACAAAGATATTCATGACTACCTAATTAATGAAATTAGATGTTTGTTTTCTTCTAATTTTAGCCCGTTCTTTTGTAGTGAACAGAACACAAGTGGAGACAATCGAATGTATTTAATACAAAATTACAGGACTTGTTAATAAAATCTAACAATCAAACAATAAATGCGTAATTTGCAAAATGTCCAATTGTCTCAAAATGACTCAGGCTTCATTGTCCCTGCATCTTCATACAAAATGCATCCGTTTTCCATTCGTTACTGTTCGATCCTCTTGTCTCTCTGCTGCCAGACCTTCTGTTCACGACTAACATCATACACTACTTATGTCAATATAAGTAGCGCACACCACACTTTTAGCTCCATTGTTGTCAAACACACACTAAATAAACATACTTTTTCTCAATTCATTACTGAAATATTCAATTATTCTGGAAAGATATCAAATTGATAATTTCATAAATGTTTCATTTAAACCTAAGTTACTAGATTTTTGATTGATTTGAAAGACGATAGGTATAAAAACGTGGAAATTTGTAATTTACTTATAAAATTCTAGTAAGTTAGAATCTTTTTGTATAATAAAGAACGTATATACTTTGCTCTTTTTAGAAATGATAATCTGAATTTGTTTGTTTACAACACAAGGTCTTAATAAATAAAAATAATATATTTGTAATATCCCAATGAGTAGAAAATTGGATTTTCTGACGTTTCGTGGCTTAGTGTAAGTCACTTCTTCAGAGAATAAATAACCAAATTAAAATTAATTATTTTTATTATTTTTATTTTTATTTATAACAATCAACCCAATGCTCAATTTATTCGAAATTATCAAATCAAACCTTGGTAATGACACCTACAAGGTCTTAATGTTCCTGCTGAAATCTGAACAACAGACTAACCTTATCAAATGTTAAAGAAGTATGCAGTAAACTGATAAGTCTGTATAGTCAATCACTTCTTGTTAGATAAATATGTATAAGAATGGGTTTTGTGGAGATTGTAGTAATTTCGACAGTTGAGATCATGAGTCTATTGAAGCTAGACCAGTGGAGTTCAACCGGGTCAGTTGTGAGATAGTAACTTACTGACAACAATGGTGGATGTGCCACTCAATTACGTGGATTAGTTGAAGTTAGACATTAACACCGTTGGATGCCGGCTCAGTGATATAGTGATTAAGCGCCTGGCGTGAGACTAATAGGTCCTGGATTTGAATCCCGTGAGGCGGGGTTGTGGATGCGCACTGCTGAGGAGTCCAAAACTAGGACAGAACGGCCGTCTAGTGCTTCCAGGTTTTCCATGGTGGTCTAGCTTCAATAGACTCATGATCTCAACTGTTGAGATAAATATGTATCAACCGTTATTACAACTTAATTTGATGTAGATTGCATACTGGAGAACGAGTTACATTTGCAGATAGTTGATTGTAACTTAGCATATTAACTGTCTAATAATTTAATCTGGAATATATATATTCTATTTGATTCCTTTTTTGACATAATTAAACTTCAGAGGAAAATTATCGACAACTTTAGTGTAAAATAAGATTGAATACACTATTCTGAATCAAATCAAATTTAAAACGAATCACTAACATCCCCTATTTTAGATAAAATCATTGTTACACCTTGAATATCTCAGTTTAAAAAAAGGATTTGAGAGAAGTAAACGTTTTGTGAAATAAATAATTCCAAATTAAAGTACACTATATGATTATAGTATCATTTTGTCCGTAAGCGAAAAAGCTGTAGAAAGTTGACATCTATCTGGAACAAAATTGTCATTTGTGTACATT